CGCGCTGCGCGCCGCCGCGCGCCCCCACGCCTGGCGCCACACCGAGCGCCTGCTCGCCCAGGCCTTCGGCGAGCGCTGGGCCGCCCTGCTGCACTTCCCCAGCCGCGAGCCCGTGGGCTCGGGCTGCGTGGCCCAGGTGTACAGGGCCTACGCCGACCTCGCCGCCCTCCCCGGCGCCCGCGCCGACCCGCTCGCCCGGCGCTCGCCGCTCGCGGCCGCCTTCGAGGTGTGGCGGGCGGCCGGTTTCGGAGGCCTCTTCAGGTGGCTGGCGAAGAGGAGGCACCGTGAGATGCTGGAGGAGAAGAGCGGGAAGGAGACGAGTCTGAAGGGCCGGCACCCAGCGGAGCAGATGGACCGACTGCTGCCCAGCACAAACCCTCCTTCAGGCAGACGCCTGACGCCCGTGGCTGTCAAAGTAAGTCCTGGGCCTCGCTGGCAGGCGTCAGAGGGGAGCGCGCGGGGAAAGGCTGTGCAGCCTTTAGTTCCCGTGAGGGTGAGTAGAGCACAGGGCCGAGTGAACCAGAGGAAAGCGCTGCCTGGACCCCCTCAGCATCTGCTGTCCGCCCTTGGTTCCAGCCAGCGCTAACCTTGACTTGCAGTGGCCCCAGCTCTTGCTCATCTGGAGAGCTCTTAGTCTTCATGCTGCCCATACCACGTGCACACCAGAGAGCTGGTTGCAAGGGTCGAGTGATAGGAAAGGAATGAGTACGTTGAGAAAGCAACGTTGACAGGTGAAAGCTACATTTCACCTCTCACCATAAAATGAAGCACTTCCTGCCTCCTYGTGTGCAGAACCTGGATCAAAGCAGCCTGAAGTCCAGAAGGCCTTATACAAAGTTTTCCACATGCTAATCAATGCTGCATGGCAGGGAGAGGGGTGCAGAGCAAAGCAACGGCAATGGGTGGCTTCACAGGCTCTAGCACAGAGGTATTCTGCTTGAAGATCATCATGAAGTGTTTCTTCACAACTTAACCCCTAGGAAAACKTAGCTTCTTCCCAGGACTAGCCAGTCAAGCCTTGTCGGCTTCTGGCTTTGTACGCCAACTTCTGACTCTTGGGAATGTCTCATTTTAGCTGACTGAAATGGCCTCTTGTCTTTACAGTATTTTGACCATTGATCTGGTTGTTCTTTCTTGCCCAGGTTCTGCACCCTGGGCTAGTCCACCAGGTCCAGATGGATCTGTTCCTCATGAAGATAGGCAGTCACATCCTTGGACTTCTCCCTGGCTTCAAGTGGCTCAGTTTGACTGAGATTGTGGAGGAGTTTGAGAAGCTTATGATTCAGCAGGTASGTGCAGTGCCCTGATCTCCACCCACTGAAACACTACTGCTCCTTCTGGCTACTGATGGCCAAAGTCTACCTGGGGGGGGTCAAATGAAGACTGGCCTGTTTCTTGGTCACATGTATTCTTATAATCGATCCCGAGAATATTGCTGTGGGAAACATCATATGCTTACAAAGTAAAAAGGCAAAGTCAAACAGTGTTTGGTAAAACTGTAAGTTTTCTAGGTGGTTAGCATAGTCRCAGATCTTTTTGCAGGATGTAGAAGAGAGGTGACTGATGACAAGAAATGAGSAAGTTTGTGGATGATACCGAGCTGGATGGAGTGGCTCACACTCCAGAGGGCTGTGCTGCCATTTGGAGGGACCCGGACAGGCTCCAGAGTTRGGCACAGCAGCAAAACATTCTTACCTCCAAATTTACAAAGACTTCACCATGCTGTTAATTGTTCCTGTGTTTCTATTAACAAGAGAAATGAGACTTTTCCATATTAAACCACAATCTGCTAGTTTTACTTTTATGCTTAGTTTCTAGTGTCTTCAGTCTGTTATAAATCTTGCAGAATCTCAACTCTTTTCTAATCTGTGCAACAGAAAAACCCTAGTTGTGAGTTGCTGACACTATTTGAATGTGCCTAAAGGTTCCTAGTGCCAGCTTAGTTGGCAGAGCTTTTGCCGGAGATTCTGAAGACTCAGGATCAGGAGAGCACCTGACAGGCCTGCTGTCCTTTCTTTTCATTGCCCTGTGAAAGAAGGACAATATTCTTGGGATGCTCCGCATTTCCAGATGAGGGAAGCGGGTTAAGGTCAGCCTGCCTCCCATATCCTTTGGCAGCAGCATGGGCAGGAGAGAATAAAGCTGAAGGTAAAGGAATGTTGCCCGGACAGGAGAGGGGTGTGTGTGTGTCAGTGCACTGGATCGCTGAGGAGAGCAGGGCCAAGGCTCTGCACAGTGGGTTATTTTGTATGGGTCACATTATTTTTTCCCACTACGGCTGCCTACTTACAAACTGAGGCTAGGGCTGCAATTCTTCCCACCTGTGTTCTGCTACTTGACAGCAAGCTTTGGCTCAGGATCCATCTGTTGAAAATTTTGCAGTCATTATCTTTTTATTTCTGAAAYATCAATAGTAAGAGAAATGTGTTTTTCTAGGGCTCTGGCTTGTGGCTTTTCATTACCAGCCTCTCACTCTTCCATGAGCGATACTCTAAGTGTGTAAGAAAAACCACTTTGTATTTTCTTTTCATTCTGGCTCTTGAGTTTCACTGGTATGAGGTTGTACCCTGCAGCCATGACCTCACGCAGGATTTTCAATCTCCAGTTACACCTAATTCTCAACCCTCTTTTGCTTCTTGAGATTGACTTACGCTATGAAGCCAGGAACCTGGAACGCTTCCGAGAAAATTTCCTGGATGTTGATTTTGTGAAGTTCCCAACTCCTCTACACCCCTTGGTTACAGCAGATGTTCTAGTGGAAACATTTGAGGTGAGAGCATTGGGTCTGGGAACGGTTGGAAGTGAGAAGGCCCTCAGCAGAATGTGCTAGTGCTCCTCCTTTGGGAAGGAGACACCAAAAGTGGGAAGATGCTGTGTTTCTCTCATTTGCTTAAGGAGATTGGTGTCCTTTTGTAGTGTCTCTTCTAGTCTTTGCTCATAAGCAGTACATCCCAAAAGGGTGGTGGGAGGCACAGCTTCGGAGGGAGGGAGCCTTGGCATGAAGCCAGAGGCAGCTGGCAGGGTGTCCAGCCACCCTGTGCTTGTCTGTGCCTTCCTCTTCAGCACCATASTCTGCCTCTCCTCTCTGATGGCCCCAGGCAAGAACGCGCAGCGCGGCCCTGTCTGATGCTTGCTCTGATTCCCTTGTGGATGTTCAAGTCAGTCCAAAGTTGTTCTCTCGGCTGTAGTTTTTGTGTATGCAGTCTTGGTGAGGGTATTTCTGTGCCAGGCTGTTTCAAACTCTTTCCAAAGAACAAATCCTTCTCTTCCCCCATGTTGCAGGAACTACGGGCACCACCGAGCACATCCTTTAGAGTCTGTTATTGCCTTCCCGCCACTCTTTGCAGGCGTGCGTGGAGGYGTGGCTGAAGGGTGAGACACGGTGTGTTGGAGGCCGGCTCTGTCTCTGTTTCAGGAGAGCGAGCCCATCTGCCAGTACCTGCGCGCGGACGTGGCCCCGGAGCTGAGGCAGGCGCTTGCSAAGATGGGCATGGACATGCTCCTGAAGATGGTAGGTGCTGTCAGCTGGGGGAGCTGCTCCTGCGCACCAGCGAGCTCGGGTGCTGCTGGATCAGGGCATTGCTTAGGGACCTTCCCGATCCACTTAAATGAGCATTTGAGTATTTATTGTGCAAGAGCAATATGAAGCAATGTAATTAGCAAATATCAAGCTCTCTGCAGAGACTATGCGCACAAGCCACAGGGAAAGCAGCTAGCCTAGTTTGTTCACTTTCTACTCCTCCTCCAAAGCTATCATTTTCAAGGAGGTAAAGAACTTTTACATACATATATAACCTTAGTGGTGCGAACAAGACCTCAGCCATTCACTAAATCCCATCCCAGTGAATGGCAAAGGACTTGTTCTTACTGCGACTCTCTTTGCCGAGGCCCGCAGCGCCTGCCTAGTTCCAGGTGAACTGCTGAGGAGCAGTTAGATGCGCTAAAGCTGCCTCACCGGAGCTCCACAAATGCACACGGTGGCTTCTCGCGGCTCTGCTGACTCCCCAGCGTGAGGGCAGCTGTGCCCAGCACAGCCTGTCCCAGCAGCGCGACTGCTGCTGTGTTGCGTGGGGGCATGCGTGTCAGTGTGGATGGGAACATGGGAACAGACCAAGAATGACCTGCACCGTTTGCCAGGGAGGCTGGTGTGGGCAGGCATGGCTGGAAGCAGCTGCTGCTCTGAGACTTGCCCTTTCTGCAGGTTTTTGTCGACAACTTTGTCCACGCTGACCTGCACCCTGGCAACATCCTGGTGCAAGGCCCGGCCCCCAGCGGTGGCGAGCAGCCGGCGCTYGTGGACGCGCTGGTGCCGCCCGCRCGGCCACTGCGCCTGGTGCTGCTGGACGCGGGGATCGTGGCGGAGCTGCAGCCCGCCGACAGGAGCAACTTCCGGGCCGTCTTCACCGCCGTGGTCCAGGGCCAGGTGAGGGGCAACCCCAGTCGGGGCGAGCGGAGGCTGCGCCAGGGCCAGGGCGGCGCCTGCAGAGTCAGAGGGTGGCTTCCCGTGTTTCCCCTTGCAATCCTCCCTCGCTCTCAGCTCGCTCGAAAGCTACACCAGACACGCATAAGATGCTCACCATAGCCAAGTGGCTTCCAGAACGGAGTGGTTTCGGTGGCTTGTGAGGGGAAACAGTGGCTGCCACTGCTGGCTTGGAGCGCTTTCAGTGTGAGATGGGACTGCTTGGGAGCCACTTGCATTTCAGAGACTGTTGCAGAGTCTGACAGATTTTGCTAGAGCAGAGAAGGGAATAAATGAAAAATTTGACCTGCAACACACATTCTCTGCTGCAGCTCCGAGGCCAGCCTCCCTTCTGCTCCTCTCAACACCTGTAAAGAAAAGCCAACAAGGGGGRCAGGAGGTCTGACCTATGGCAGGTTTCTCTATACAAGGGGAATTTCTTCCTTCTTGTTCCTGCTTTTAATGTGCTGTCTTATGAGCTACAGAATCCAGCGCTGAAGTCTTCTGCTCATTCAGAGAACAGGTATCACTGCAATTAGTGGCATATTGCTATTTCTCAGCTGTGAGTTAGAGGGCTCACCAGTACCTAGGAGGACTGCTTAATCTCTGTCTCTTTGATCTGCTGAAAGATACCCACAAGTCATGCTGATGTCCATGTGTTCAGGGATGCTGGACAGACTGACTTTAGCTCCTGAGCAGCTATTTCATTGCAAGCCCTTCATGGCTCAGGCTGCCTGTAATTCATGTTCTACAGGTGGAAAAACTTCAGTGCCAAGTCTCACTGGCAAACTCAGCCCCGGGCTCTGTGTCACTGTCACATAGCTTTGCTAAAAAGAGCCATAAAGCCTTGTCGTAAGTCAGGCTTGCAGATGACTCCCCCTCTGGCTCACCAAATCAGCTYACTCTTCCCTGTTTGAAAACAGAAGATTGGACCTATTCCATAGTGAAGTTAATAGATGCCCCTTGATCCGAGCACCATTATCTGCTCTGATGTTAATCCTGTGTTTTTATTTTTCCCCATGAAATGTCTCCTTACTGGCTGACCAATGACCTTTTCTTGCATCTTCCCCTATAAGGGGCGGGTGGTGGGGGGGAACAAAAAAACTCCCAGCTAAGCCTTGCAGACCCGTTCTGCTCTTTCTGTACCTGCTTCTATTAATCTCTTGGGTTTTTGTTAGTCCAAGATCTACTGCCAAAGGAGAGTGTGGCCCTGGGAGCCCCTTCCTGGAACGGCTCCGTGCAGGCGGGCTGCTACCAGCGATCTAAGGCTGCGGATCCTTCCTTTCCCCTTGTCGCGCAGGGGGAGCGAGTGGCAGAGCTGATCCTGCACCACGCGCGAGCCAACGAGTGCCGGGACAGGGAGCGCTTCAAGGCGGAGATGGCCRAGCTGGTGGCCAGGGTGCGGAGCAGCTCCATCGCCCTGGGCAAGGTAGGTGCACGAGCAGCCGCTGCCCCTCGCTGGCCCGTGACTCAAGGGAGCCTTGTGCTAGTGGCCCTGGTACAAGGCCAGCTTTCATCCCCTCAGCRCTGACCAGTCTTAATTTTCAGTATCCCAAATGGAGGAAAAGTTCTTAAAATCTTCCCGTGTTTCCTTCTAATGACAAAAGTGGGGTTTTTCCTTCAATTATTATATCTTTGATCTGCCAATCTCTTGAGAGGCAGGTGTTAATAAACCTGATGTTAGAGCTTGCAGCCTGTGAGGTAAGGCCAGCGCGGGTGCTCCAGAGGACACAGAGGTCTGGGGCACCGCGAGGTCCTATTGGGGGCTGTTAAGTGGGGCACTGGGCACATGCTGCTTCATAGCTGAGCTCCTTATCCTGAGGGGATCTTATCCCCTTATCCATGAGAGGCTGCCTTATCTTGGCTGTCAACAGCTCTGTAATCTTGCGCCACGACCAAGGCAAAACTCTAACACTCCATTTTATTTCTTATCCTGTCTTTCATGCATGTGCCTTAGTCTTGCTGACCACAGTGGGGTTTGTTTGTTTGTTGTTTTCTATTTTTTTCCCCCGTCTCTAATCAGTAGTTAACTTCTTTTGCATTCCAGCTTCAAGTGGCAAATCTCCTCTCCAGTGTCTTCAAGTTACTGATGACCCACAAGGTGAGGAAGAGGCAGTGCCTGCCTTCACCAGCTGGACTCTCATTTGGGGAGGGAGAATTATGACGATGGTGACAGGGTGACAAGGGTGACTGTGACTTCTGAAATGAGCTGCTAGGAGAGGGAAGGCAAGGATGCATCCAYGTGTTTGAGCAGTGCAGTTTCTCAAGGCCTAATACATGTCCTCACTGGACCCATTTCCATTTTGCTAGGTTTTGACCTCTATACCACATTTAATTGTTGATATTCCATACTTTTGCACTTGTTTTTTCCTATCTATTTGATAGTCTCCTAGGAGCAAAAGCAAAATCTTGTAAATGTATGCAGGCTTCTTGGCTGCTGAMCTTGTCTCTTAATACGTGGTTATGTGTCAGCACTAGGCCCCCTTACTGGTTTGCTGTAGACCTCAACAGTGAGGTCTTCACCGAGAAGAGCTTCCATTTTATATCCAGCAGTACTTGGGGGACAAGCTTCCAAACAGTCTTGGAAATGAACAGGGCTGTGGTGGCCTGGACCAGAAGAGGTGAGGGTTGTTCTGGGCAGCTGTAGGACAGACCAGCCTGCAACTGGTCCCCTTAAATATTCTTTAGAGCTTTTGGTTGTCAAAATTCCTTGGACTGGCATCCAGTAACATGAGGTGCAATTTAAGCTGTTGTGAAGCAAGTCCTGTTGCCAGCTCTATGACTCCCTAATGCCCTTGTGTGCCTTGAAAACAGCCCTGGTGCAGGGGTGGGAGCTGGGGACTAGTTTGTTCCCACACAAGCTGGGCGCCCGTGTCCTCTGTGGGGCTCCTCTGTGGCTGTTCAGACGGTGAGTTCTCTGAGCTAGGAGCATTCCTACCTCCTGCTATTCCAGTATGAAGGGGAAAAGCCCATGCTGCTTGGAATGGAAAAACATGCACCCTCAGGTTCCCTTAGGTCGCTTCCCCTGTGTGCTGCTTTGTGGAGCTGCTACTGGATTTTGAGCAGTGATAGAGTTGCAGGATGGTTTCAGTGTGCCTGATSTTTCTACCCCCAAACCTCTTGCCTTTCCTTCCCACTTACCCAGAGCTGATTCTTCTGTGGAATGGGTTCAGAAGAGAAAAAAATCTCTGGTCCATGGTGTCCATTCAGTCTCTTGTGGTTCTAGGTGAAGCTCGAGAGCAACTTTGCTTCCATCATCTTTGCCATCATGGTCCTGGAAGGGCTTGGTCGTTCACTGGACCCCGAATTGGACATCCTGCAGGCTGCTAAACCACTGCTCCTCAAAGCTGCAGCTTCTGGCCTTTAGCAGACTGTTGTGGTTGCTACTCGTTCACGGTGCAGGGTTAACTTTGCTCTCTGGGAGCTGATGGAGAAAGAGGCTGGAGGTGAGAGCAGTCCCATGCCTCTCAATGCCACGCAGTGGATATTCCACACTAAGGTTGCTTTCAGTCATATCCAAGCAGCAAACGTGGAGTGATCACAGAATTGCACACAGGACGGTGGAGGGTGGAAGGGACCTTTTAAAGAAGATATAGTCCAACGCCCCTGCTCAGCCGACTCCAGGTTTTCCAGGACCCTATCCAGATGACTTTGGAATATCTGCAAAGGTRGAGGCTCCACAGCCTCCCTGGGCAACCTGTTCCAGGTTTGACCACCCTCTCGCAAAAATGTTTTTCCTTATTTTCAGTTGGAACTTCCTGTAAAAGAGTTTGGCACACTCCTCTTCGTACCATCCCTTTAGATGCCTAAATCCATTGATAAGATCCACTTTTCAGTCATCGTTCCTCCAGTCAGAGCAATCCAAGCTCTTTCCTATGAGGAAAGTCTATTTCAGAAGGCTGGGGCATTTTGCACAGAGGGAGAGTTTAGCCTCCYTCACACAATTTTAGGAGATAATACACTCCACTTTTTTTAACTGATGGTATCAGATACTTTAGGTGCACAAGATCCTACAGCCTGACGAAGAAGGCAGATTTGCTCATCTACAAGTCTTTAAAAAGATGTTCAGATAGCAAGTCTGCTTTTGCAAAACTATCAGGTTACAAGTTTTAAATAAATTTACTGACTGATCTCTGACTACTCTCTAAGACGTGGTATTTTCATACCACCTAAGCAAATGATGAAGATATTCAGACTATGAAATGTAAGCAGGCTGAAGAAGCCAGTGTACCMTTTTTTTACATTTAGTGTAGAAGTGGCCTAACTTCCCACAGAGTGGTCTGTTCCAAGTCATTTTGGATGATAAAAGCAGACAAGGCAATTTAATTTCAGATTTCCATCCTCTAGCACAATATTATAAGAGTGTGGATTACAAACAGTTTAAAAAAAAAGCCCAAAAAGCCCATAATAAAAGCACTTTTGGGAAGTATTTCTCCTGTACTGGCTTTAGTTTTTGTTGAAGCTTTAAAGGGGGGGAAAAAAAAAAAAGTCTTTTCCTCATCTCTTTATTCGCATTTGTCTTGTCCCTCATTCCACCCCCCCAAAAAAATCTGAAGTTAAATCCTCATACTAACATAGAAATGTTATCTTTTTTCCTCTCTCTGGTAGTTTATAAAACAAAAAGTCTGTGCCTTTTCACTGAGGGATGGGAAACTTATGAATGTTATCAAAACAAACCAGTTAAACCTCAAAACTGATCTGGATTGTGCCTCTCACAGTCATTTACTGGTATTCTTAAACTCATTTTTAAGACCTTATCTTAGTGATAAGAAGCAGCCTGTTGAATGATGGAAAATATTTTAATACTAAATACATTTTTCATTAAGTTTCAGTAGCACAAGTGCTCTGTAGCAATCTGTTTTCAAATGGTCAAGCAAAGAGGAAACTATTTACATGGATATAGAATTATATGCTTTTAAGTGTACACAATGTCAGGCAATAGCATTTTTGTTTGAGTATTGTTTGGTTCTTGGCTCCCTCTGGCTAACAGTACRTGGTACAAATGGTTCACTTGCCTTTCAATTTATCTTCATATTTGTTGTAGTAGCATTCTCCTCACTTATGCATGGTGCATATCAAGCCTACTTGCTCTGCTTGCAAAGCTCTCTCGGTACCTTTGTGACATTCTTCCCAGCTTAAAACTTCCAGCTCTTCTGGAATGCAAGTCCGAGAGTGGGACAGTAAGACATGGAAGACCCTAACCCCACCCTTGAATACAGGGCTTCTCCAGACACATTTCAGAGAAAAACAGATAATTTCTTCCTCACACTGCCTAGAATAGGTAGCTTTGTACCCAAAAGAAGAAATCTTTTTGTGTTCTGAAGTTACACAAGTTGTTCTTCTATGAAAGGGGCCTGCACACTTCAGTAGGTGGGCCCTAACTGTGCAGGGCCCTTAKTTAACTAATTCACCTCTCTGTCCTTTGCAGCTTGAAATTGGTTTTAGCCTCACATCCCTCTGCCAGRCTCTAGGCCTTGTGCAGTTTTCTCTGAATGGCTTCTATAACCCCCAGCTCCTCTGTTGCTCCCCTTGAGTGCTGCCAACACAGAGCCCAGTGCTCCAGGAGCCACCTCCTTGGAGTCCTGTAGGGGAAATATAGTGCCCTTCAGCTGGGGGCTGCCGTGGAGGCAGGAACTAAATGCTCTGGTTTTATTAAATACCAGCCTAGCTTTTGCTCGCAGACTTGAGCCTGTCAATTTGGTCACTCAACACATGCAAGACAAAGCATGGTTTCAAGGTGTTGAGGGGTCTGCACCTTGAACGAGTGGGTTAGATCAGGACATCCAGAGAAGGAGGCTTGCAGAGGACAGAGCAGTGAAAATGCCCTCTGGCTGCAAGAAGAGGAAGCTGTGAGATCTCTCCAGGAATTACAGCTTTGYTCATCACAAGCACGCTGTTGCCTGAGCTCCAGCACACTGACTCACTCCTGTAGGATACTGAGCACGTTTAAATGCCAAGGTCCTGCTTACCCCGTACAGCCTCTTCACTCGAGTAGCAACGTCCGGAGCATCAGAAGATTCTGGTCTCTGAGGTACTGCTGGAGGTCGCAGCGTTTTTGGCTTTTCTCCTCCATCTTCTGGTGGGAACGCTCCCTGCTCTGGAACACTCTCCTTTTGGCAGTCTGGTGCTGCTTCTGCTGCTGGTCCTCATCCTGTGATCCATGTTCCTGCATTTCCTGCCGTGACTGCATTCTGCTCCTGAGCAAAGCCTGCATAAAATTAATGAGACACTTACTATTGTATAGCCAGCTTTCATGCTTAATTTAATCTACAAATATTGCTGACAGAGCTTAGAAATAGGAGTAATAGTGAATTTGCCTAACCAGCTTGTTGTATACAATTGTTATATAGTTCCCCCTGTAGACTTTCTCTGTGGAAATTTATCCCTTTACCGAAAAAGACTTCTTCCAGAGAGATGGGAAATCCTCCTTCTCAATCTTGTGCGTGTGTTTGGTTAAAAAAAAAAAAGTCCTCCGCTTTTGCACTTCTACATCTCCAAGGAATAATTACAGTGGATAGAAGACATGAAAAACAAGTTTTCTTGACGGTACCACTACTGGAAACACAGTTTTCCAAGAAAAGCATCTGGAAAAGAGCCCTTACCAGCCTCTCTTTCTCTTGTTCAAAGCTCCTTTCATTACGCTCTGCCAAAGCTGCTTCTCTCTCCAGGCGTCGTGTCTTTAAGAACTGYAGCCTCTGACTCGCCCTGTTCCTCTCCTGCTCTGCCAGGGAGGATTCCTTCTTGCTCCTCTCTGCCATGGCAGCTTGGAGCAGTGCTGCGTGCTGGAGAGCCCTCTCTTCACGCTCCTGCTCCTTCTCCAGCCCTCGCAATGTTCTCTGAAGCATTCGCTGCCTGGTTCCAAGATAAAACCATGCAAATTTCTCAGGAAGAAGGTGGGAGGCAGGGAAGCGCGTAAGAGACAAATCAGGCATTCTGGCACTGTGTGGTCAGCAAATATTCCAGGATGCTTTGTTAGGTTAGRAGTTTTAAACCTGTACCCTGGGCAGAGTCGGGGCTGGGCAGAGTCGGGGCCAGAGCTTCATCTGACTGCACAGCCTGAGGTGGCCGGATGTTCTCGGCCCTGAAGACCAGGCACGAGGGGAATGGACTGTGTAGCAGGACATGATCAGCAGGATTGATAATGGGGCCTTGGTAGCCATGGCGAAGATGGAGAGAGATGGGTGATGGGGGCAAGSGTGGGCCAAGGCCGTCCTTGGCCAGGGAAACAGGATTTGGGATTAAAGGACTCTGAGGATGAGACTGAAGAAAATTTGCCCTGGGAACTAATGCAAGAGCCGCCTACAAGACCATGCACACCCATTCAAACATACTCTAGGCTGGTATGTTGCCTTTTCTGTTTGTTTGATGTTTTACGTATTTATTTTTTCTTCCATTAGTGAATCACCAAACTCAGCATGCAGAGACCAGCATAAAGCACCAAGTGTGGCATTCAGAGACTGGCAGCACTAGGGAGTGGACGTTACCACTCATCTGACACTTGCCACAAGGAACCAGTTAGCTCCTAGATTCTGCCAAAATCTTCCTTCTGCTGTTCTGGATTCTCCTTTGCCCTCCCTCCCACATCACTCGTTACCTCTGCATGTCCCTGCGCAGCTGCCGCTGGACGCTATCTGCCTTTTGCTGCTGCTCCCTCTGGAGCTGCCTCTGCTCCTCCTGCTGCCTTTTGTGCTCAAGCTTCACTTCGTTGAAGTCCACTGCTTTCCGTTTCTCTTCAGAGGCACTGTTAGCGAGTGAGTTCTAAGAAAAAAACAGCTAAACCCTTAATCTCATCTCTATATTTTTTAATGTAGACTCTAAACCTAGAAAATGAGGAAAGTTTAAGTCTTCTAATGGTATTCCTGAGCTCTGGAAGTCAGACTGCCCCATGACTACTATAGTGTCCCTTGCCATCCACAAAGAGGCTAGGTCTGATGCTATAACCATTACAAAAGATTGGGCTTAATCTGCAAAGAGATGCCTGAAAAATACAAGTATTTTACACGTTCTTCCCAGGTCCATAGCCTTACTGATCCAGCTGTGCTTGAAACTGTCTATTCTCTGTGTCAGCTTCTGGAKTAGATGGAAAGTACAGGTGACTGACTGCAAATCGTATGAAAGATTCCTTATCAGATACCATGGCCAAATGCAAAATCACCCTATAGTTCTATATAGGTAAGTTAGCTCTTCACTGCCTGTTGCCCAAGATTTCTATCCACAGTCAAACAAGGCTTGTGCTTTCTTCAGAAATAGCAGCATTTTAGTGCTGGGCAGTGATCCTAATTTGCACTTTTAAATGCATTCTGCTGTATAAAGAAACAAAGGTGCTTTAAAAAAAGGTGCTTTTTTTTTTTTTTTTTTTTTGTGAAAAGCAAAGGTGCTTTTCACAAGGCTCCTCTTCAGTAGCAGCACAAATTATTTTATTTCTTCTATATTTCTACAAGGCTCTCCATGAGGGAAATGGCAAGGAAACATCCTATACTTAATCCTATACTTAATCACCAAAACTTCAACATGCATTTCATCYTGCATTGCTAGAGTTGTTTGGGCAAGAACAAGCTCCTCCAAATTATTTTGCTCTCGAGCAGATTCTCCCTTCTACACCCAGCCACAATTAGCAGGTTCCTGCTGCTAGCCCCTCTTTTGCAGAACAAACAGCTTCCTCCAGTGCTTTCTGCAGGATAGCTCTTGTGCCACAAGCTGGGAGACCCCTTTGGACCTTCAAATAATGCCCACTGCCTTGCCTCCTATTCTGACTGTCCCTGCCAGTCTCGTGTAGCGTTTAGACTGATTTTTCTTAACAATCAGTATGACTTTGCAGAGGCAACAAGTATCTTTCATCTTCAGGCACTGCTMTTTCCATGCTCAATTTTAAAAATACTTTTTTTTAATAAAGAGATCATCTGAGAGTATATTATCACTGTGTTCTTACARCACGTGACATCAATAAATCGTAATAACTAAAAACCAGCCAGGAGCCAATACTTACAGTGATGCCCTTTTCTTTTACAAGATGTAGAAGACGTGCAGATCTCGTAACCTCCAAGTTGGAGGTACTGCGCGGTCTCCGCACACGTAGAGCTGCTCTCATAGTCAGGCTGTCTGCCTCRAGTGATTCAGCTACGTGGTCAAAGAAACTTTGGTGCCTGCAAGGACCCAAAGCGCTTGTTCCCACTGAAAGGCTCCCCTGTGGATGCTGCACTGGAGTTTGTGCCTCTTTGGACTCGGAGGGACCTTTGGGACAAATTGAGGACATACAAGGTTACAGACAGGTTATGAAAAGAAAGCAAAAAAAGAAAAGATTGCATAAAAAGTATTCAAGCAAGACTTTTATAACTGAGTACCAGCAGTTTTCTCTGAGGAAGTGAGATATTTTTAATCACCAAAAACAGATGCCAGCTTTCAAAAAAAGCTCACAAGTAAGCAAGAGTTTTACCTGATAACACAGATCACTGACTGCACTTGCAGTTATTAATTCTAAGGGGTTATTTATGTAGTATTTTGCAGACAGACACAAGCTTCTAACAATGCTCTGGGAGCAAACACCGGCTGTAAGTGCTCCTGGGAGGTGGGATGCAGAAGCCGGGGTGCAGCGCGGTGCTGACAGAGCTGTGCAGCTGGAGGGAGCTCAGCACGGGCACTGCTCCCTTGCGCCTTGGTGCTTAGGGCAGCGCAGAGCAGAGCGGCGGTCAGTGCGTGCGGCGGYGCGGGGAGCCCTTCTGCTCCCCTCTGCCTTCTCCCCCTAACGCAGCGACGCGGAACAGGAGCAGTAACATCTGGAGACAGATCTGGGCTCCTAGAATCCTCACTGAGGCCTGTGTTTATCACACAGATAGCTTAAATGTGTACTGATTAGTGTATGTTTGATTAAAAGCTTCTAAAATCACGATCCAGTCCCTTTGAAGTGATAAGGGAATAAAAATATACTTGATGGCTTTGAACAGCAGTAATTTTCAGCAGAGAATGAGCTGTTTCTGAATGGGCATTTCACCAGAGTCCCAGTGAAATCTTTTGCCATTAGTAGTCATAGCTGATATTACAGATTAATTTTTAAAGGCAAGAAAGTTTTAGAATTAGTAATATTTATAGTGAGCATTAAGATAAAATCTCAAAGTTGCTAGTGTAGGAGGTGTAAGGGTGTAGAAAAAAACTTCTGTATGAGAATACTTCCATATTGAGAAGGTGAACTCCTCAAACCATACTACTATTAATATCTAAACCAATTATTGCTATATTAGGCAGTTGCTATGTTAGGCAAAACATGACATTGGCATCACATTATGACAATCTTTTGAAGCATCAAGAACTGCAGCAACAGAAAAGACCTTTGGCGTGATGGCCAACTGCACTGGTTTTGTGTGGCAAAACTTATTGTAGTGAAAAACAGCTACAAATTCAGCACCATGTTCATGTTYCAGAGCAGCCTCGGTGTTCTCTGCCTGCTCTCCCCTGTCTGCTTCTTCCTTGTGCACTGACTCCATTAAGCAGCTCTCTGAGTTGACAGCAGTGTCGATCATAGCATGAGCCATCTCCCTCTGAGGATGCTAGAAACCATAAGAAATGCCATTAAAATCCCCAGCTGATAAGAAAAGCAGCATGAACTTAACAGCATAAGCTGCTGCGTTGGAACTGAGGCTTGAGAAAGAATACATAAAGAAGGGAAAGTTTCTTACTAAAGGAACAAAGAACTTGGATAAAGTCCTTTCTGATCACTTCTTAAATTTGTCCACATCTTTAAATGACCTTAAAGTAGGCAGTCTGACTGCCTGAGAAGGTCCAAATCGTCACAGAAGAGACCAAGTCATTGAGACCAAGGTGCTCTCAGTGAAAAACAGTCACATTCCCAGCATGTGCCAGGGTGAAGATCCCAACCCTAGCAGGGCAGCAACAAAAAAGCTTGGCAGCAGAGGGTGCACATTAACCTCCTCCTAACTGGTCCTCACCCACTGCCCATTCACAAGCACCAAATCAACCACTGAGGATCACAGAAGCCTCCCTTGGCCTAATTCATCAAGATGGCACCTCTGTTATGGSTGGAGAAATATCTTAATAGTGCTGTGTCAGGAACTGCCTTGCAATCCCTACCATAGTGCTCATTTGCTGTTAAATCATCTTCTGTGACACTTTTTCCTGCCTTTGCCTCCTGTACGTGGAAGCAAGATGTGAAGGGAAGGGGCTGTGCTGCACAGCTGATGTTCTGCAGCCCTGTAAGAGCTTCTAGGAGGCAGCTGCAGCCAGGGACAAAAAATGGCAGCCTCAGACACTGCCCCAGATCAAAGGACCAGGAGGACAGTGAAGATCAGGTCTCTCCATTCTCTAGTGGTCATGGATAAGGGTCAAGCCCGAAAGGTCTAGTAATATTGCAGTACCAAGAGCAGAAAATCTAAGGTAACAGTGCAGAAACAGTACAAGTATCAGACGACATATTAATACAAAAGCTGGTGTTAGAAACTTGTTACCTTCTTCAGTTCTGTAMCATCATTGTCCTCATCCTTACAAGACTGAGAATCTGGAACATGTACAGCCTTCAATCTCTTCTCTTCCTTTTTCTCTTCTCTGGAAACAGTTTCTGAAATGGAGCTCTTCCCTTCGGCCAGCTGCTTTGCTATTTTCCTGCTCAGCTCTTCTTTAGTCAAGTTTGTTCCTGGGATGAGGACATCTTCTTGGGCTTTGCTCTGTGCAGGCTGTGCGGGTGCCCGGGCTGCAGGGCAGCAGTGAGGGGGTGAGATGCACCTCGAGCTGCACTTGGTGCACAGCTGAAACGAACACAGACCCATGGGCCAGTAGTCCAGGTATGAGCAATCCTGTCCGCAGCGGCCTGAGGCTCTATAACCTGGTGCCACGATGTATGGATAATGAGGGCTTGAGGCTATCACCATCTGCCTGGCTGCTAAGGGCATCTGCAGTTCTAGGACGATGCGTTCRCTTAAGGGCAGAGAGACGCGCAGAGCTTGCTTGGCAGTTACCTCCTTCGTTAGCCCGTTCCAGAAGTGCACCAGCACAGCTCTGCTGCTGCGGGCTGCGGGGAGCAAACAGCACAGAACAGCAAGGAACCTCTGAGAGACACGTCAACCGCTGCGTTTCCTCTCTTAGAAGCCAGGTGATAAAACAATAGCTTGTGCCGCAGACATTATTTTTTTTTGTCTGCATTAAATGAGTTTTAAATTGAACTCATTAAATGAGTTTTTCTTTATAGGTTTCAGATCTGACCTTCTCTTGAATTTCCTACTAAGAGACAACAGGTGGGCAGCAGTAGCAAAACTCTCACCGGTTAGAGTGAGCCAGGATTTTACCCTGCACAAACCTGGAAACTAGACTAACAGCTAGTCAGGTCAGTACTGGAGAGGGCCAGGAACATTTTTGTCTTTACATCAAGATGGCTTTTCCCCTCCGTGCTCCCTCACCCTCCACACACACACACACACACACACACACACACACATAAAGCCTACGTTCATTTGGGCGCTGAAAAAAGGCTGCTTAGTGACAACAAAAAGAAGAGGAATTAAAACCAAGCAGCAGTTGGTAAGTTCTCTACAGCTGGGACTGTTCTCTTTTTGGTATAGCAGCTAGCAACTGCAGCAAGTCTAGCACTAACAGGAGGGCAGTACCTCGTACCTGAGCGTGCCTCCTTGTCCTCCGTAACCACGAGCACGGTGCCCGGGCCGAAGCGTTYGGCTTTGGCCTCCCACGGTGCCAGGACCCTGTCTCCTGGAGCCAGCGGCCGACGCCTGGCGTCTTCGTAGTGCAGGAYGTCGTACAGCGGAGTTTCCTGCAGGCGAGGCTGGGCCTTGCCTTTTGTCAGCGTGCACCTTTTGTCAAAGGCGATTAGGAAGCCTTCCCTGGAGCCCTGCGCGGGTAAGACGTGCAGTCTGCGACATGGACATCTGGGCCCAGTGAACAGCCAAGCTAGGTGCTAAGCTGCAAGTGGCAGAAAGCCCAGGGAGCAGAACATGATCTGAGAACGTACTGTTCCTCCAGCACCAGGCTTTTCATTGTATGCTGTCCATATTGAACTTAAAAATAATTAAAAASCTGGGACTTAGGGCCTGACAACCTTCTCTTCCTCTCTTTTTTGGACCTGGACTTTAGTAGGGTTATCTGGCTCAGAGGAACACATTGGCCTGCTAAGGAAAATCTGTCCTGAGTCCATCAGGACAGGAGTAACCAAAGTAAACTGCTGCATACAATGCATTTAGTTACAGGGCAAGCAAAAGGCCTACAAAACAGTAAAATATTCTAAACGCCATAAATTTGACTGCTTTAACTTAAGCCTCCCACATGAGGTGTGGGGCAGAGAGTCCATGACCCAAATTCACCCTCTCTGCATATCTAAGTGCACTTACACAAGGGATGCTGTTGGCCCCTTCTCCAGCTAGGGTCACTGCTGTCCTCAGCTGCCCACATCTGTTGCACCCTCGGCTGGCGTTTCAGCCTCCTTAGCAATRCTGGCATCACTACTTGTTTAACTAACCTTTGAACTGGGAAAGGAACTGGATTTTTAGGGAGGGCTGCAGGGGCCCTTTTCTATCTCCATCCTAGATCATCTCACAAACAGAGGAGACACAAAATGAGGAGAAGAAGAAAAACTCTCAAGCCAGCAAGGAGGAAGTAGGCCCTGAAGACAGGTGTTTTAGATTACCATTATTAGTGCTATTTTACTGCTATGGTAGGGGATAATAGAGAATAGGGATACAAGGGACCTATTTTGTTTGATTTCTTTCATTATGGCCACTAACGTGAATTGATTTCCAAGCTGCTTCTACTTGCAGGACTGCTCACAATAGCATCAACTGAAAATAGATTAAGCAGGATGTGGGGAGAAAAATGTGGTTATGAAGTACATTGTACAGCCTACACCAGGGTCATGGCGCTGGGGATGGATGGGAAAGAACAGAAAAGAAGACACAAGGGACGTAGGGAGAGCCTTTTTACAAGCTTAGTTCCCAGGAAACACCTACTGTCGCCTCTTTCACAATGTGGCCCAAGTAGTAGTAGCCGTCAGTTTGTCTCCTGGCCAGCACACGGGCTCCCCTCATGAAACTGGAAGCCTTTGGGGATGAACGGATTAAACTCTCTCGTGCTGAGGGTGCCAAAGGTGTTCCAAGGAAATCTGGGCTCCATACACCACTGGAAAAGCTGTAAAAAACAGAAATGCAGGCAGTAATGAAGGCCCTGGCAAGAGAATTTCTGCACATTGCTGCAATGAACCCAAACTAGACCTGGTTGGGAATCCCYCTCTCCCGATAACTGTGTTGGTTTCTTAGCCTTGTTCCTTCTCTGCGTTATCCAAGTGATCCATCTGCAGGTTTTGAACTTACTCTGTTGCTGGACACGCTGACGGCAAAGAGCCACAGGAATCTTTACTAGCGGTGTGGCAACACTGGGCCTGAGAGATGGACACRGAGCTTGTCTGGGAGAAGGAGGAGAGGAAAGCAGAAGATGAACATGATTTCTGTTCCTAAATACTTAAAAGGGAATGTTATTTATAAAAGTGAARTTTGCATTCCAGTATGTTACTTCTCCTTGTGTATTTCTTTTGGTTTTCTATGTGATTTATTTCACAAGTATGCACTCCTATTTTAAGGCAACAGGATTTGAAAGAAGAAATACTAACAAAATAAAATCTAACAACTATATGATAAAAACCCTTGTGTTTCACCTTCTTTCTTTTAGATATTAATTTTTGGCCCATCTCAAATCCTGTCATTATTTTGTTCCATCTTGAAGGAGGCACTAAGCATGTGATCTTTAAATCAGGGTAGTTTACTTTCTTACTGAGTATTATGGCACTCAGCAATAAAACGGAGGCCAGGGCAGGAGGGTGGATAAAATGACCTGAAGAACATCTGAGAAGGATGACATCCTGGGGGAGAACGTGTCAGGTACTGCGAGAGAAAAGTGAAACATAAGGGACTGGGGAAAGTGGACAACAAATCARAAAATGTTATAATACAGCATTCAACTTTATGGAAAAGGATAAACTAAAATTGGGTGGCAAGAAAAAAAAACGCAAAAACCAACAAACAACCAACAAAAACTATAGAACAACAATAAAACTTGAATTGTTTCTCATTGTTTCCTGCACGCTGTTTCTTAAACTACCTTAGGGCTGTTACCAGACTGGGAAGAAGGAGGAACTTAAAATGTCAAAAGTACAAGGAGGCCCACGGGTGGGCACTGGGAAGCCACACTGTATCACCACTGAGGAGCGTTAGATTTAGCAGTTCAGGGAGTTAACTGATTTGCATGAAGCTGTTGTTTAATTATTTAAAAGGAGGTWTTCAGCCACCCCTGCCAGTGGGGCAGGGCAACAATAAAAGCCATGAATCAGGGTAAACTGGATGTAGGCCAAGACTAGCAAAGAAAACAGGAAACTGAACAAGGTGTTTTTATTCTTTCTTTCCTTTGGGATCTTCACCTCCTCCTGTCAGTGTTTCCAAGGGCTGGGCTGTAAAGCTCAGTGATATCCCTTTACAGGCCAAAACCAGCTCTGCAGAAGTAAACGGGGCTAAAACAAGATATAACAGGATTTGACCCCAAATGTTGGTCACAATGCCTGGTGCACAGGAGCTGCAGGAACTGCTCCCTGTCCTCCCAAGCAGGGATCTAAGGAGCAGTGCATACTTAGAAAGGTGGATTTACCAATTTGGAATTTTGGTAAAGCCTGTAACAGAGATGCCAAATCTATTTTAAAACCATTTTCAAGGACAATTTTGCTTTTTTTTTTTTTTCTTTTTTCCTATTAGTCTCATACCTTTTCAGAAGCAGCGTGAGGGAGTCTGATCACTTGAAAAGACCCCCCAGACTGCCGGGCTATTTTTTCCATCGCTTTTTGTTTGCCTGTTTCATCATCATCAGGATCTCCCAGGAGGCACACGACATGCACTGGATGTGACTTCTCCTCCATGAGGAGCCCACAGATGTCCTGGGCCTCGTGCTCGGGGAGCAGGTTGCTGAACAGACGCACTTCCTCGCAGGCTGGCTCCTCGAGCGCCGCGGCCACGCCGCTGGCRGCGGCCCTGCCATCCTCCAAGGGCAGGGATCTAACCCAGGCTGCTGCCTCGGCCACGCTGCAGAGGGAACATCTGACCAGGCACCTGCGCCACTTGAACACCTATGCAAAAAGGAAAAAAAAAAGACAGACAAAGAGGAAACAAAAGGCTCATTCAAACATGCAGCTCTTTCCTTGCATGGAACAGGTGGGTGATTCTGTATCCTTCTGAGAGCATCCTCCACAGTATGGAAGGAATTCCCCATGTCCTGTGACAGAATCCACACAATGAGGGAGGGCAGCTCTGTGGCCTGACGGAAGGCTGTGCTCCCACCTACATACACGCTGTGAGCCACCCATCTTCCTCCCTCAAAGGCAGCTGCCTGGTCACTCCCTCCCGCTGCTGGCATCCCCTGCACTTCACACCCTTCCCCACTCCAGCTAAATGACAACCAGAGCAGCTGCTSTCAGCTGGGGAGAAGCACTGAAAAGCGCTGCTTTTCCCGCACACCTGGTGAAGACCTCGTGCTCCTTAAAGCTCCTCCACCTGTTCTAAAGCTCCCGGTGCTGTGGGCAGCCTTGCTCCGCCTGCACTCCCAACGCCCTTTCGCGCTCCGCCTCCCCGCGGCGCTACCTCGCTGGAAAACGCCACGACGTTGAACGCGGCCGCGCTGGGCCCGGCGGCCAGCTGGAACAGAGCCCGCACGAGCAGCTCCCTCAGGCAGCGGCCCGCGGCGGCCGCGCCTCCCCGCGCGCCCACCACGAAGGTGGCGC